TCAGTAGCAAGCAATGGCGATGTGCAGCCATTGTTAGTCGATAGCAAAATATATGAGCAAGATGTCTGTGAGTTGTTCCTTTTGAAGAGTCGGGGTTTTCAACAAATCTTCGTACATGAGGAATAATGTATCTATTTTTAGTATATTTCGTCTTTAATAGCAGCGTGGAAAAATTGCGATAAGAATTGCCAGGAAATGGATTGAATGCTTCCTTTAGCCGAATATATCGTTCGATAATTACATTTCTCCGTAGACGAAATGCAGTATTAAAACGTTTGAACTGATTTCATTTAAAGTGAATAAAAGTGCACTGACGTATGCAAGTATATATGTATGAGGGAATTTTGACCCACAGTAACAGCCTTATAGGTCTCCAAGAACGATGTTTTGAACTGTTGAGCTCCATGTAGATTGGTAATTTGTAGGAATATGCTCACTAACTTCTCCCAGTAAGCATCGACCGTTTCTGCTTTACTTTCAGGAAATGTATGTGATTTCGCCTGTGATCAGCCTTAGCACTGATCTGACCATTCGGCTGCTACGCCCGCGACTAGCATTTCAATGTGGACATTTTTTGGTATCCTTTAATGCTATCGTCTCTAGTAGTTGTCCCTACTATTTTTCGGTTCTGATTCATGATAATACCATAAAGGTTAACTGTTTCGAGAGAAACTACAGTTGTTGAGTCCAGTAAACTGTTGATTGATAGATGAATTGCGTAAGAGAGAGCTTCTTATTTGTGCTTTCTGTTTATATCAGCAAACCGTGTGCGGATTCGACCTTTTGCGTGCCGATGGAAAGTCGTATGTGTGCGACGTGAACGGCTTTTCGTTCGTCAAAACGTCGATCAGATACTATGAGGATACGGCAAAGATTCTTGGCAACATGATCCTTCGACACCTGGCTCCTACGCTGCATATTCCATGGGTGAGGCCGTTTCAGTTAGGTAATTCTATTGGCCATATTTACCGTTTCGTTGATAATACTATTTACGTTCCTATTTTCTGAATTTAATTCTCTTTTCCCTCGTGTGCTGTTCATCGCGCTTGTGTACGCTTGTTTTCTTGCCTTGTCATTATTTAGGCTCTGTAACATGATCTGTGGGCTTAAATTTACTGTGTTCCCATAATTGCAATGAAGTCATGATTGGAGGCGAGTTTTTCTGCTTTTGCGAAAGAGCTATTCGAAACGCCCTCAGTTTAAAATAACTCCCGAAGGAAATTAGGCAGGTCCCAAGCCCGGATAACTCCGCCATGGCCGGTCCCAAGCCCAGATGAGAAAGGAGGAGGGTTGGAGACCGTGGCAAGTCTCC